GTTCACCTCATCATGTTCTCGATAATTTAAGTAAATGGTTTCTCATTAATATCGCATTTAAACCAATATATTATTATTAAACCAATATATTATTAACGCATATTACTTGAATATTATTACGGTAAACTTTCATATCGATGTTCCAACTTTAGATGAAGTCGACCTTAACTCATGTTATCACCGTCCTGAGTTCGCAAGGTTTTTGCTGCCGCTCATTGTTCATCAAAAAGTTATTAACAAAACAGGTTTGAAAAACGTAATAATATTTTGAATATTACGTTAAATATTATTTGTTATAACAAATTTCGAATAAAATTAAAAGCTACATGATGTGTGAATGCTGAAACATCATAATTACAAGCGTATTGTTGACAGGAATAGTTTGAATAGTTACACGCTGATATCTTATATGAGTTGATAGTTAATATCAGATATCCATTTATTAGACCGTGCAATTATTCTTTACTTTCTTCAAACTGTCAATGACAAACCAACACATGTCACTAAATAATATTTCAGTCATTTATAAGAAAATATGAATAGATTAAAATCTTGCTATATAAATAAAAAATATTTATATAACATAAAATTTCAAATGTTCAAGTTTTCCAACAAATCCAATTCTGGTATTTGACTTATAAGACGTATACTATTAATTACTTGTTATTTATATTATTAATTCACTAGTTATTATCATTAATTATTAATTTATTAATTTATTTTGACGATAACTTAGTCACTAATTGAGACATATTCACCTTAGTATATTTTAAAAAGAAAAACCTTTCTTTATCGCTTCTAACGAAGAAATAAAGATTTCTTGGATCTTGAAGGTATTAATGAATACCTAAAGGTATTAACAATAAACTCCTATTAGTACATCTTTCTCGGATAGTAAAGTTATGATAGTGTAATGCTCACATTTTCTGCGAACATATCCGGCATGTTATTTATTAATACACATAGTTTGTAGTTTATGTATAATTTATGCGTGTAAACTGCGGCTGAACACACGCGCAAATTATAACTCCGTCGTAACTCGAATATGATCCTGATAAGATATTCCTCGGTGTGTGCGGTACTCACCGTCGTTAATGTTGTTAAGTCTTCGGTAATTTCAAGCAGAGTCGTCTCACGGAGATATTTTCGGCGAGATGGTAATCATGAATGCGCGACGCGACGTGACAAGGCAAGACGAGACTAGGAACGCTCGACTTCCGTGTCTGCGTCTCAGGACGAACTTGACCCGCTTATCTAGCGGCTGAATTTCGTGGTACCTGCTGAGCACAGGTAACTCGAACAACGGCCTGCCACGAAGGTGGGCTACGACGAAAGGAGGAGGAAAAGGAGAAGGACGAAGAGGAGGAGAAGGAGGAGGAGGGTGACGAGAAGGACGAAGGTGCGCGGCGATATAGATGCGAGAGCCATATCGTATCACGGGACAAAGAGTGGGTCAAGTTCAGCGGCACGTGGATAGAGTAACAGCTGAGCTACTCTCGCTTTCATATCCCAGTACTGTACCTGCGATCAGGCACATGCACCTGCATGAACGAATGCTTGCAGCGAGTATACGCCCGGCTATTCTCTCTCTTCCTCTTCTTTCCCGCCTCTATTCCTATACTTATGGCGGACATCTAGTTGATCCTCTTCACATGTCCTAAATTTCCACCGATTTATGTAAAGTAGAGAAAATATACATCAACGTAGACTTCTCGTATTCTTGAGCAACCGTAAAAAGCATTGGAAGTAGTACTATTTGATATATTCGAAACTTCGGTATAATCCGACGTTTGAAGTTGAAGATCGAAGCCTCCGACCTCCGGGCTTCAAATCTTCGAACGTTATTTGAAGATTTGAAATGTAGAAGCTCTTAGTATGATTAATTTCCAAGAGTGCAACGAGATTTTATGCAGTCAGTATTGTTCGAATTTTCGAATGTCCGTATATTCACGCTTCGAATCTTGTGTTCATCGACAATTTATTTCTTTCTTATATTTATATTCTTGTTTTTGTCCCTACATATATATGCTATATCGATGTTATGTAATTAGAATTTTCCCATAATAAACTGATTGATCCAATAGTAAAAGCTTCAAAAATTGAAAGCTTCGAAGCTTTAAAGAGGCAAAACTTCAAACATAATTTATAATTCCAATAAGTGCTGTAGTCACAGTTCCAAACGTTCGGATATTGTCGAAAACGCGAAGAAGATTAACAAGCTAATTCTGTGCAATCTCTCGGATGCCGAAATTACTCAATTCAAGAAATATTCGCTTCTCAATCGTCAATTTGAGAGACAAATGTAACGGAATAATTGCCAGGGTATTAAATGCCTCCACGACTTGTACGACAATTAGATTTTTATCTCACATGTGATAATATATCAAACGCCCAACATCTTTGTTCTCCTCTTTTATTTTTTACACTTTTCACGGTACTCCTGAAACGGTCTTCATTTTCAACAGACAGATGAATCATTCCCCTCTTCCTTCACACCACGGAAGCCCCGTCAATGGGTCAAAGCTCAGAGGTATCTGAATGACGCAAAAAAAGATACGTATCGAGAACTGTCTGCCAGTCTGCCATTCAAGTACGCGGCGTTCCACATTTTCCTAATTGATCCCCGTCGTGCGGGCAATCTGTTTTTTTCTCTCTCTCTCTCTCTCTCTCTCTCTCTTTACATTGACATTCATCGACTATCGTTGATGGTGCGGGAGAGATGGAGGTCCAAAATGACTCCTCCCGGAGTCGCGTCGGCCTTCGCCGAGATCACGGATTCTATCGCCGTCCTTGGAGATCCGGTAACTAGGCGGACGGCTCCGAAGTAAGAAGTCGAAGGCTCGCCAGCGCCGAGATGGGCGCGCGATAAATTTTGATTTACCGGCGAGAAACGCGGTCAATTAATTATACTCCCTTTGTATGCATCGACCGTGGTCCGATCCCTTTCGTGAGATACAACATCCGCTCGCGAAGCTTGGACTTCTAGCCGACTCAATTTCGCCAACCCTCTTTCTCCCCTTCTCTCTCTCTCTCTCTCTCTCTCTCTCTCTCTCTCTCTCTCTCTCTCTCTCTCTCTCTCTCTCTCTCTCTCTTTTTCTCTTTCTTTTTCTCTCGTGCGTTTTTTAGCGCATATATGCCTTAAATTTCCAACACTTTCATACACGTGTGTGGAAAAAATATGTCGCGGCTCTACTTCATCCCTTATCTTCAATTATCCGTACGTTGGTTTCCGCGGTATTCCTCATCCACCCCACCCCTGATGAGGTTGACAACGATAGGCACTTGACACGTAAATTATGGTACACTCTGAAATTGCGGCTGTACCGCCAAGGCAGAAATAGAAATCGAAATTCGGACCCCGCCGGGTATAATTACGCCATCCTCGCAATGTTATAGCGGCCTATTGCGGAACCCTCGTGGACGACAGCTCCCGTTTCCTGATTATCCTGCCCACCTGTCACAGCGATTACTCGTAGATACATAATCCGATTGCCGTTTGCCGATGACAGCAACCTCGCACAGAACGTATGCACGTGTGGACTATGATTACACATGATGACCATGTTTATTCGCTACTGTAACCGGCGTCGAGCCGGATTCGAAGATCTCAGCGCGTTATGATCCTGCATTTCATCCATAATGGCAATATATACGAGTGCATGATTGCAACGATGATCACCGTGATCTCCGTCGCTGTTCAATGCGCAACATAGTCCGAAAGCGTCAACGAGTGCGCTACCATTCTGAGCGCAGAAAGCGAGAAATTAATCGAACAACGGAGAGATATAGAAATCTCGAGAAGAAAATCTCTCAAGATCGGACCCTGCAACTAATTCGGAAACAAAATTCTCAATGCAAAAGTGTCCAAACTGCAACGCTCGTCAGATAGTTGGTATTAAAAATTGCCCTGCCATAGCGACTAAAACTTGCGCGAGTTTGCTTTGTACCGTCCTATGTGCCATTAATCATAGATAAACATTGTAATTATACGCGGTCGCGCACGTTGGAGATCGAGACAATGCCCAACTTTGCGTAGCACGCTGTGAGCATGAAATGCAACGGATGCGGGATTTATGCAGGACCCTGTTGGCAACTTTCGAGGTGTAAATTACGGTGAAAAATATTAGCGAACTCCCGGGAGTCGACGAATCATCGACGACTTTATTGAATCGGACGATGATATTACATTATACAAGAGTTAGACGTTATCCCGAAAAAGTGGTATCTCGACATTCAAGAAATAAGACAATTTCCCGAAAGATCATATTAATGAAACATGAATACCTAAACAATATTGCGAAATACAATGTTCTCGAGGTATATAATTATTCCGAGGAAGATTTGTTACATCGGCGTAATAGAGTTACACCGAGAACAATATACGGATATATTAATATCTCCCTTTTTTTCCGAGTACAATTGCTGTACTTCAATAAATAAATATTAACACATCTGACTGTACAAATATGACTGGAAATTCGGCGGAACTTTTGCACAAACCTTCAACATATACATCAATCTTATCGGAAAAAATGTTTTAGTGAGTCAGCACGCATACAACCAAACGATCCCTCTCACCTGTCCCGACGTATCATTGCAAGATTCCTGACAAACCCTTCGGCCCTTGAGCGCTCCAACATCACGTGCCGCGATTTTTCAGGCAAATCCTTCTGCGTCCTCAGCGTTCACCTTGAAAATCACGCCAAGGCCGTCGGTCTTTATCATCGGATTTCCGCCGCGAACGAACACGCGGGTGACGACGCGTGTATCGATGGTCACGCGTCACATCGTCGGATACGCGGTTGCGAAGTTCACGGTCTCGCGACGATATCCGTCGTGAAAAGCGATGCCGATGGCGAGGGTGGTGGTGGCGGTGACGGTAGGCGACGACAGAGAGAGAGAGAGAGAGAGAGAGAAACCGAAACGAGAAAGATGCGATCACGCGGTTGGACGGTGTATAAAGAAGCGTCGGCATCGACGAGACTGCGACACTTTTTGATCGTTCTCTGACAAAGGCTCAGCGGGTCCGACGCGAGATGGTCGTCCGAGTGCATCTGAGAGTCGCCACGTTAGCACTCGTTCTATTCTTTGAGTTTCTCACGCGGATTCGGGCCGAGTACAATAACTGTGAGTATACACGGCGCTCCGAGTATATCAATTTATTTTTGTCACGCTGTCGGACGGGTCTCTCTACGCCGTGTTCGCGCGGGCGCGAACTTCGCGTTACGAATGGGAGAAGCGAGGAATACGAGAACGCGCGCGTCTCCGGCAAGCGGAAATTTTAATCTTCAATGTTCACGTTTTGCCTGCATTATTTTCCCGGGCAATAAACTGTTCTCTAAGACCAATATTAGTAGCTGTTACTTGAAATTTGTCTCATGTGAAATAGCCTGATTTATATAATATAGAATTGGGTGAATGTTTCAGTCGAATCACGATTACAAATATATAACGTCATATGCTACACCAGTTGAGCAAGTATCATCCTGAAAATTTTCGATATCTCGAAGTTTCAAAACTGGGACAATTTTCTGAAAAGCCATATTACCGAAATACGAATACCTAGACCGTATCGCGAAATACAATTTTCCTGAGATGTACACTTGTCCCGAAAAAGAATTATTACTCTGGAAACAACACACGCAAGTATATCAAAACCTCAGCATTTAAGTACACTTTTGCTATACTCAAGTGCTGCACTCAAATACCCCTTTGCTGTACTCAAATGAGTAAATATTAATTCATTCGGTTACACAACAAGACAATTCTAACGTTTAATAATAAAATAACATTTCTTAAGATCGCTTAGTATTCAAGAGGGATGAGGGTGGTGTTGTTGCATATAAATTATAAATTTTTCAGAAAAGATTGTCTCACATTAGTACGTTCTATATGATTCGGAAAATTCATATCTAATCAAATATGGGGCTAAAATATTCGTCGAATAAAAGTTCCGAAATACTCTTGCAGAAAAGTATAATAATACACAATAAAGCCAATGACATATAATAAAAGTAACTTAATGAAGACGAATAATTATTCGTATAATTAAGCCAGAATATCGATTACTCGTATAATTAAACCAGAAATTGTTTAAGCCATTTTGAAACTTTGCAACTCAAATATCCGTCATACGAAACAATCGGATTCATGAAACTGTTATGTTACTACTGGAATACTTTGCTTTGTTACAGATTATTATAGACTCTTCTCGTAATAATAGATTCATTATTGCGCAAGTTAATTATTATGTAAATTGTATATTTATGATGCCCTTTGCATTTTCCCTTGTGGTTCTCAAAGTTTAGGTAAACTTACTTTATCAAAGTGCAACATCTATAGCAAACTCTGTATTAGTCAGTTCGCTCGAAACTCTGAGAAGCTCGCCAACTATTCCTGTTGCAATTAATTTTTCGAAAATTTATTTACTACGTAGCGTATCATGTGGCATGCTTCATTTTATTATTATTCCCAGAAGATTGAATTACTATGTTATTACGCTTTAACGTCAAATAGATCGCGTTCTCGACTACTTTACATTCTGCATGCGACTGTTAGAAATTTTTCTTGCAAATGGACTAATTCTAATCTTAATGTTTTCGTCATACTAGTAATGTCTTAATAAGTATAACACTTAACAGTATAAAGCAAATCTATTTTAGTTATTAGCATTAAACATTAAATATATTCGCATGAAACATTTTTCAAGATTTTCCCAGATACAGCATCGTTTTCAATTAAAATTCTCAAATTTGCCCAAAATTGGTCATCCAATCATTAGATCCCAAGAAATTTTTTATACGGATACATATTAAACAATAGTACGAACAATTTAAATATATAACACAATAATATAATATACGAATAAAAGAGAGATGAAAAGTTTCTTATTCATTATTCTGGTTCGTCCGAATTGCTTCTAAGTGTATTTCCTGACGATTGAGCATCTTCAACTGATTAATTTCTAACAACTCGACGATTAAACGTGAATAATTAAACGTCGAAAGCGACGGGGAGGAGATCCCGCGTCTTGCTCTCCTCTCGAGACAATAACGAGCACGAATCGTCGCCCAGCAAATGGAACACAGGTATCATAAAGTTTGCGCTAAATTGTGCGGTCATTTATCCAAGCGCGACTTTACTTTCCGCGCTACTACGGCGATCTATAACGAGATTATCGCGTCGCTTACAAGCGTCACGCTCGCGCTAAGATAGAGCGCCGCGATGTCACGCGGCGCGGTCTATTATCTCGAGAGTTTAACGTACGCGCGCGCCATTCGACGGGTGCATTTGTAAACGTAAACGTCGGTTTAGCCACCATAAAAGGGAAACGTTAAGTGAGAGCGCAACCCCAACGGTATTTGGCACGGTAGCGCGGGCAATAGAGAGGACGCGCGCGCGTACGGTGAGCGGGCGGGCGGGCTGGGTGCTCGCAAATCGACGACTCTCACGGCAAATCGGCGCAGGAAATACCGAACTGTATTTTTCGGCATTGCTTGGAACAGCGGACGCATAATATTAGGTGCATTTTATGCAGCAGCTCGTTGCCCGGGCGTGCTCGCGCGCGAGCCCGTCCTCGCGCTCGACGGTGAGCTCTCGCTCGACTACGATCGGCCGGCTCTCGAGCTTTTCTGTCGGCCGTCCATTTAAACGCGGCGCGGAGGCGCGGAGGCACTAGACGCCAAACGGAAGTCGATGCTGAATTCGGAATAGAAGCTTGCGGATTACGCTGTGGAACACCGGAAGTTAATAAACCGAATTTAGTGTTCACCGTTAGCGTAGTGCACATTCGCGGCGCACAGTCCGCCGTGCGTCGTTGCTCTCCAGCCAATATTTGAAAGTGGCTTCGAGAGAAAGAGAGAGAGGGAGAGAGAGCGAGAGAGAGAGAGAGAGAGAGAGAGAGAATGAATGAGAGAGCGGGAGACAATATTAAGGGATATTTATGAGAAACAAAAATTTACAAGAGATTCTTATTCTAATATATTTAATATAATAATAATGATGACAATAATATTGATGACATTAATATATACCTACATTTTTACGGGAATCTTGTTGGAATGTTGGATCTCTTAATCGTAACATCAAATGTGATAATAAAAAAATGTTTTATATAACTAAATGACGCTCAATAATTTGTAATCGATGGAAACACCCGAAGCAGCATTTGCAAAATAAGTTAGTCTATTATTGCGTTTTCCATATTTAATGCGATGGGCGATATAGATAAGCGGCTAAACGCTAATACACCGAACAACACTGCATCAAACGAACCGGTGTTAACTACTACTACTAGTAATTAACATAGCTTGTTAATTGTATAATTATAATCCTATTTGCAACTCATTTAATTGCAAGTAAATTGTGTCTCTGTTCTCTTTCCCCTTCCCCCCCCCTCTCTCTCTCTCTCTCTCTCTTTCTCAATTATACATGTTTATCTAAATTGCGCTTTGACGGATTACACTCAGTTTGATTCCCCCCATACCTTCTATTCCGCGCGATAAAATTCCGCAAATTACCGTAGATATTCTACCGTATTTATACACGCACATAACATTTAGCATGAAACAATGCATACACTATAAGAAAACATCTCAAAATTGCCGACGACTATTTCAGGAACGGATCCTACAAAGTTCGCAATTATCCAGCTGAAACGTTTTTCATGGCTGGTCTAGCGCCCTTTATAACGTATCTCCCGTTTTTAAATCTATCAAATTTCCACTTATTCAAACAAGTAGGTACAGGTGGGTAAATATTTCATTCCACGTGTCAAAACTCGTTGGCCAACTGGCCGCCGAAGTGATCGGAATAAAATGCATGCGCTTGGAAAAAATGATGGAATTAACGCGCCGCAAAAAATTGTCTCCCGTGTTGATTTACGTCCCAAAAAGCTCCCGTGTCGGAGACAGCGCGCTGATAGATTATTTGAGCAGCGTGTCCCGCTGCATAATGCAGAGTGTATAGATTGTGTCATCGCCTCGTTTACAAACGCGCTCTTTTGCCGCGAAATGTCAGACAAAGCGCCGGGCGAAATTGAATAAAGCTAATTATTTAGCGGCTAATTTTTAACGGCAATAAAACGACTGTCCCTGTCAAATATTTAGGCTCTGTATTATGCGCGAGCGGAGCAAAGTGGTTTATTCATGAGACCGACGGCTGACTGTTTCTTCGTCGAGCGATTGCATTGTGATCGTTATTGGCAATAATTTTATGCTTCGTGACTGAATAATCTGTCGCAAGCTTACGCGTGAGCGGCAAGGGTGTTACAACAAATTAAATATAAATAATTAATCTTTCACGCTGTCGATTGAATAAAATTGCGATAATTATTACCGCTCGAATTACTGTCACAAGTCGTACATAGCATCTGATGTCCATTAAGCGAATTGTATCCCTGTTCAAAGATTCACGCTCGACCTCGCATATATTATTTAACATGTTATGTTTACGCAAATACACACACACACACACACACACACACACACACATTCCGAAACGTTATTAAAATATTTTCCCGAAATTCGCTTGACTCGTTTTAAACTCAGCGATATGTAAATTATTGGTATTACATGGAAAAATATTCTTCGCATGAAATGCTCGGACTCGGACGCTACCGTTATTTTGGTCGGTAAACAAATTACATGCCGCACAAATTACGTTACAGTTACGATCGCCCAAATATACGGCCACTGCCGTATATATAAATATACGTGTAACGAGATTGCAAAATTATATTTCACCGTTAGCAAAAAAAATAAAGAAGGAAAAAGGAAGAGAAACGATCCGTTTCTATGATAGTAGGAGGATATCCATTGAGGAAACAAACCTGCTCGAGGAATGTGCGAAGGCCGCTTGATAACGTAATTGCGTTTTCGGCGCTGACAAGCTGCCGCTACGTAGGCGGAAGGTGAGCGCGTGCGGAATAGAAAAATAGGTAGACAGCCTTGCCGAAGGCTGCAAATTTAGCAAGTACGCGACCTCGGCGTTGCTCAGTGACTCAAGCATTTTGTCAACGACCGTTCAGTGTCAAACTCGTAACGGACGATATTAGGGGGTTCTTAACCTACTCGAGGTCGCGGAAAGACCTCCTTTCTAATATCGAAAGATACCATCTATTTTTACGA